ATGCTTTCCCATAGGCTCCGTCACTGTATACGGTGACGCTCTTCTTGTCGAAGTTATAGGATTTTTAACACGTTCGTCGCCATGTTACCGTATAGAGCAGACGAGTATGCTTTCCTATAGGCCCCGTCACCGTATACGGTGACGCTTTACTTGTCGAATTTATAAGATTTTTAGTCGGATCTTAAAAATATTTTATTATTTTCGGTAAATAAAAGATAGTTTTATATTTTATTATCTTCGTAATATATATAAATTTCGTGTCACGTTGTTTGTTCGCAATGGACTCCTAAACTACTAAACCGATTTTAATAAAATTTTGCACACTGTGTGCAGTTTCATTCAACTTGAAAGATAGGATAGTTTATATCTCAATTTATAATCGCAATATTATTTTATTAATCGCGAATTATTTGTTTATTAACAAAGAGTCATGATTATCTCTATTAGTTCGATAAGATTCTAACAGATGGCGGTATAATAAGGTAATAATTTATATGGCAAAACAACATTTACCGGGTCAGCTAGTTTTCGATAAATAAATGATAGTTTTATATTGTATTATTTTCGATAAATAAACGAATTTTGGACCTGGCGAGAAACTCAACCGAAAACGAGCTGGACGACGAACATGTTAAATGAAATGTATAATATTTGTCATTTATCTGTTATGATATGATATTATTTATTATATTTATTTATTATATTTTATAATAATTATTCTTTAACTAGTTAAAGATACTACCACCAAAAAACAACCTTCGTACACTTTGTATTTTTCGTACTGTATAATCTGTTTTTTAAATTTGATACTGGAATCTTACAAATGATAAATCTTTTGAGAATTAAGAGGGGTGGGGGTGGGGGGTTGGTTAAGGGTAATTTGTACAAAAAAAGGTACGTTTCTGTGAATTTTTTGTGACGACACAGTTAAAATCTCTTTTGCGAAACAAATCGGCTAAAAAATCGCGTGTTTTCCTTCAAAGTGTTCCAAAAAAAATTGAAAAAATTGAAATTTCGAAAAACCCTCCTAGCGTTACCTGGAGAAAAACTATTATCAAACGAATGAACTTTGATTTTTTGGGTTTTCAAATGATCCAGCACCAAGTTATGAGAGTGACACCGCAATTCTACTTTTTTCCTGAGACACGTTCGAATAATTACTGCCATTGTCGTATTTTTGAATATTTTTTTTCGTCAAAATTTGATACAATATTCTTCAAATGTCATACTTTAATGTACCATTGGTTTGAATGAAGAGATTTTAATTGTGTCGTCAAAAAAAAATTCACAAAAACATGCCTTTTTTTTTGTACGAATTAATCTTACCCCCCCACCCCCCTTAAATTAACAAAGAAAAGAAAAGATTTCTTTGGTTTTTTTTTTCTTTTTAATTGATACAATCAATTGATTAATTGTAACGATTGATTGTAAGATTTAATATTCATGATTTAATTGCACATTGTAATCTACGTAAAGGTTGAGATAAGATTATCAAAGAAACCCAAAAAAAAAAATGATGATGATGATGATCATCATCATCATCTATATTTGATTAATTATAGACATAAGATACAAATGATATTTATTTATGGAATATTATCATATCAGATACCAAATGAAATATTTTACGTAGTATCGATGATATTCATTTTATCGACAAATTAAACATAACATTGTTTGAATCATTTAAAGCCGGCGATACATGTAAAATAAAAATAAAAATCGAATTTGTTTCTGTTTTTTTTTTTTTTTTTTTTT